AGTTGACGATGATGATGACGACGACGATGCGATTAGTGTATATAATAATCAAGTCGTGCATGGGAATTTATAGAAGGCATGCGTCGTAAATGGATAGGGCAGTTTTGTAAGAAAGTTTGAGGGTTACCCTACATATGTGGGCTAGTAAGCATAGAGAGTGATCTCATATATATATATATATATATGTATATATACGATATATATAATGATAATAATAAGAGGGAGTGTTTGGTTAATTGTGATTGGCTATTGGATCTTCTCGTGAATCTTCCGTTAGATTTGGTTTTGGATTTTGTGGTCTCACGTGATTCTCATAACTCTCTTCTCATTTATTTCTCTCTCTCTCTCTCTCTCTCTTCAATTTTGATTCGACTTTGAAATTAAATTGTTTTAATCTTCCAAAAAGTAATTATAATTTAACTAATAAAAAAAGTTATAGTAAATAGTAGTTAAATTATATATATAAATTTTATTTGGCAATCAAGTAATATTTTTTAACTCACGTGGATGATTTCAGCTGTTGAAAATGTATTTAGTTTGAAGTCAACAAAATTAAAATCCAAAAGAGATTACAATTTGACGAGAAAAGATATTCTGATTTTTGTAGTTTGTTTTTTCAAGCTCAATGCTGGAGGCTGTCTGCATCACACAATCTTCTTTTTTATTTGCTAAAATATTAAATAACACATATACATATGAATATATAAGCCAATTAAATTATTACAAATTAATATTAATAGTATTTATGATTTTTATATATTTGTATAAATTTACTCAAGGAAAAGAAAGAGTGTATGAGCGAGCAAAATGGTGCGTGGGTGGATGTGTGTTCTAAAGGGCATTAAAATGGGAAACTGTTTTTGTCTTTCTAAATGCCATCTTCCTTCTCCTTTCTCCTTTCTCCTTTCTCCTTTCTCAAGGTCCACATCTCTGACCACAATATTTAAACCGCAAAATTACACTACTCTCTTGTTTACGCATACAAATATATATATATATATATATCTTATAAAATTAACCCATTTGAAAATCGACTTGTACTAACCTCTTAAAACTAAAAATAAATAAAATTGATGAATAAACAAAAAATTAAACACAACTATTTGATCATTTAATTCCAGCACAAAAGCTGCTTATCACTGAAAAAAAGTAAGGTTGGTGAAAATGAAAGCATCATCATCTTTGTAGGTGAATTTGAGGGGTACCTAAGCCAAAAGCCCATGCAGTCATATATATATATATATATATATGTGTGTGTGTGTGTATATATCTTGCCTTTTTTCACAGATAGTGATAATGGATTCAGTCATGATTACTATATAATAATGATAATAATAATAATAAAAGTATAATTCTCTCCCTCTATCCACACAAACACACACCAAACAGTCTCTCAGTACATTGAGTTTCCCTCTTAAACTTCAAATTGCATTCAAAACCAAATCATTCACATTTGAATATCTGTCTCCATGATTACCCAATTCATGCATACACACAAACACACACACAACATATATATATATATATATACACACACATGCAAACACCTTTCCCATCCAAAGGGATATAAATTCTATTGTCAAAATAAAAAAATAAACCCCATGAAACAAGATTAATTTAGTTATCATCATAGTAAAAGAGCTGCTTTTATTAGACTGTCAATTTTTTTTTCTCAATTATTAAAATATTATTCAAATTAAATATTGTAGAGCAAATGAAATTTTACCAAAACATTTAATAAATACTTGTACCCTTTATTTCACAAGATTACGAAAAGAAATTTACTACACCGAGGAAAACAATAAAGACAGAAAAGCATATTTGACTGGGGGGAGGAGGGAAAAAAAAAAAAAAAAGTAAGGAACAAAATAATAAATAAACCATTAATTAATTACAACACCAATGGTATACTATGATTCTTTACATAAATATATATTATATATTTACCTTGTATTCTTCTGCATTTAATCCCCCACAAATTATATTGGACCACAATATCATATATGTATATATATATATATTATCTAAATAATTAATGGGTTAATTTTGAGAAAGTCTAAAAAAGTACTGGATTGAACGACCCGTTTTAGTAAGGAGAAGATGTGAAGGTACAGATTGAACACTTTTTTATTTTTATTTAAAGAAAAAAAAACAGTAAAAATAATAAATAAAATAATTAATTGGGGCCCTTGGATCATCATTCCTGGAATATTTCAAGTTGATCACAGACCCACTCCCCCTGCTTTTTCTGTATGGAAGCAGGTGTTGACTGCGTACAAACAACATTTCTCCATGAAAATGCTTTTCCACCTTCTGTTCTTTTTTACCATTTAATAATTAACCACGAAATTTATATTTTATTATAACAAAAGTAAATTTCCCATCATTTTTTTTTTTAATTCGAAATTAATTTCACGAACAAATTTAAATTTTTTAGGCTTTTTAACCTAAAATCGCAATAATGACTGACCTTTTATGTAATAATTACGGTCAAATCAAAATAATAATAATTATTATTATGATTTTATTTTATTTGTTATAAAAATAATATTTGAGGGTGAAAAGGAAATGGGTTTGTGTTTCCGGTCACCCCAGCAACGCAGATGACAGTCACCGCCAGCTTCATCACTGTCAGATGAATAAAGCACAGAGTTCGCAGTGGTCACATCAGATGTCCCCACACAAGACAACCTTTCTAAATCAAAATCTACGGTTGGTGATGGGCTGTGACCAATTTAATTGTCACAGTAGTAGTAGTAGTAATTGACACCAAGCGCTTTCTTTGTCCCATTATTATTATTTATTTTTTAAATGAAAGCTGTTAACCAATTAATTAGAAACCAAAACATAAAATATTTTGTTGCTCCCCCCTCTAACAAAAATTTAGCTGTCAAATATTACGAGTCTAGTTTAGTTGATAAGTAGATTTTTAAAAATAAAATTTAACAAAAAATTATTTAAAATATTTAATTACAAAATTAATTTGTAAATCTTCAAGCTAATTAGTGTTGGTTGACTTAATATAATAACAATTTAATTAAAAATAATACATATATATATAAATATATATAGGATCCTCTTGGTGTAAGCAGAGAGAAGGGTTGTACTGTATGAGATGACTGGATGGGCAGGGCAGATAGTAGTCCAGCTCCTCCCTGTCAAATCTATCCAAGCCTCTACACTCTCACTGTAAAAAATATAAATAAATAAAGCTTTACCCTATTCACTACTTCTCCTTCCCCACTCACTCACTTTCTCTCATTCATCAGATCAAACAAATAATAATTATCGCAAAATTCTCTACTTTTTTTACTTCTATAAGTTTAACTCGTGTTTTGGATACTTGAGAAAAAGTATAGAGAAAGAAAAAAGAAGAGCTCGGGGGGGTTTTGGGTTTTGGTTCTTCATCTGGGTTTTTTGTAGGGTTTATGAGAGTGTTAAGTATAAAGAAGAAGAAATTTAAACAAGAAAAAAAAAAAGATAAGAAAGGAGGAAAAAGACGTTGTCTTTCTCATACACAGATCCCTATGGAAATGCAGGGATGCTCCCCAGCATTGTTTGCTAGAGTTCATTCTTTTTGTTTAGTTTAAAGAGACCAGTTTTGTTCTCTTTTAAAAGAGAGAGATAGAGACTGACCTGGGAGAGTGCGTAGCCATGAAAAATGTTTCCGAGTAGTTTTTTTTTTTTTTTTCTCATTTCTGAACAAGAAATACCAAGTTCTGATTATATGAATATGGATATGGATATGGGGGAGGGAGTATGACGGTTGATGATTACTAGTTAATAGTTTATGTTTTCTTCAATGATTGACTCGCCTTTCAGTAGGATAAACCAGTAGAAAAGCAAGAGAGAGAGAGAGAAGATGAAGACGATGAATGATGGCAACAATGGCAGCAATAGTAATCATAGCAGTTGGTTAGGTTTTTCTCTTTCACCACATATGAAAATGGAGATACCCTCTGACCCGCATCATCATCATCATCATCAGTTCCAGCAACAAGCTCAACCTTCTGCTACATCCCCTGCTGTCTCTAATTCAGTTCCTACCACCTTCTACCTGTCTTCTTCTCAGCTCAACACCTCTGCACTCTGCTACAATGTCGGTGAAAATGGCGGCTTTCACTCTCCCCTCTCTGTCATGCCACTCAAGTCAGATGGGTCGCTTTGTATAATGGAAGCTCTAACCAGATCACACACAGGAGGTTCATCTAATTTTCTCTTCCCTATTTTTTCCCCTTATTACCTTCTCTTCTTTGAGCTAAAACATGAATGTATTTACTTTCTTATTCTGTGAAGGAATGGTGGCGTGTTCGTCGCCGAAGCTGGAGGATTTTCTTGGCGGTGCAACAATGGAGACTCACCAGTACGGCGGCAATGGAAGAGAGACAATGGCGCTCAGCCTAGACAGCATGTATTATCACCATCAAAATCCAGACCAACCTGAAGCCAACAGGCCGCACTCGCTGGATCTTCTCCAAGACTTCTCTGTACAAACCCACCATGGTTATTACCCCGGACTAGGCTGTCACCCCATGTATCAGACGCCATTAGAGGAGGAAAACAAGGATACCCAGATTGCAGACTGCGATTCCCAGATCCCCCAAATGGCCGAAGACAGTATTCCTTGTCTCAAAAACTGGGTCGCCAGACATTACTCGCCGCATAATGCTGCAATGGAGCCGCAAGTAAACACTAGCATGGTTGACGATGGAGGGGCTTCCGGGTCTGTTGGTGCAATGGGTTGTGGGGATTTGCAGTCACTGAGCTTGTCAATGAGCCCTGGTTCGCAATCTAGCTGTGTGACGGCGCTGAGACAGATCTCGCCGGCCGGAGGTGGTGAGTCTGTACCGTTGGAGACGAAGAAGAGATCAAGCAATGGTAAAGTAGGTCAAAAGCAGCCTGTTCATAGAAAATCCATCGACACATTTGGCCAGAGAACATCACAGTATAGAGGAGTCACAAGGTTAGTACTTGCCAATTCCATTTTCAAGGTCTCGGGTCGGGTTATACCCGATGCCATTGATACATTTAGCTGTTTCTTTCTTCATCAGACATCGATGGACTGGTAGATATGAAGCTCATCTGTGGGACAACAGTTGCAAGAAAGAAGGGCAGACTCGCAAAGGAAGGCAAGGTTAGTGTACTTTCCTACTCTGTTCACCATCATCATCATCATCATCATCAATCAACTAATGCAAAATAAATTTACAGCCATTTTCTGTTTGGAAAGTTTCGATCTTTTAACTGCAAGTATTTTATTTTTTCAAAAAAGAATTGTCTTTATGATGATCTGACCCAGTTCATAATTTTCCTTCTTTTTCGTCTCGTACACGCTTGCTGCTGATGCCATTTCAATCAAACTAATAATCATTCAAAATTTCAGTTTATCTCGGTAAGTATATGGTGTTTACTGCGTTTTTTTTTAATGGCGAACAGCATTGAATCAGTAAAATTTTGTTTTTTAGTTCCATTAAGTCAAGTTCTTTAATCATTTCCAGGGGGGTATGATATGGAAGAAAAAGCAGCAAGAGCATATGATCTGGCAGCTCTTAAGTACTGGGGACCTTCAACTCATATAAATTTCTCTGTAAGATTTTTCCCATTAATTTTTTATGATTTTCTCTCTAATTCCTTTCAAGACCTCAAGTTTCTTAATCCTAATTTTTCTTAAAAAATAATTACAGTTGGAAAATTACCGGCAAGAGCTTGAAGATATGAAGAACATGAGCCGCCAAGAATATGTTGCCCATCTCAGAAGGTAAGACCATATTTTTATATTATATTTATATGTTACATATATCCTAATATTATCTATACATATATTTATATTTTTACCTGATTTGCAGGAAAAGTAGTGGGTTTTCAAGAGGGGCTTCAATGTACCGAGGAGTAACAAGGTTTTTTCCTTTTTTTTTTTTCCCAAATTTATGTATACATTATTTTTTGGCTTTTCAATTATTGTCTCTGAACTTTTTATATATTCCAAGTTAATTAAAAAAATATAAATTATCTGTTTGCAGACATCACCAGCATGGAAGATGGCAAGCAAGGATTGGGAGAGTTGCAGGAAACAAAGACCTTTATCTTGGGACATTCAGTGAGTTTCTTTACTTTGTGTATCAAAATTCTTTCCACTTTAAAAATCCATTTTTTGTTTTTGTTTCTTTTTGCTTTTTGGTCTGATGGGTTTGTTTTTCAAATCAAAATTTCAATTGGGTACCGTTGTTCATCTGCAAAAACTTCTTTTTTGAGGACGATTTTCAATGATGACAAACCCTGGTGATAGGCTTTTTATAAGGCTGATTCTCAGTTTCAATGGAGCCTTTTCGTAAAGCTGTTTTTTCTTTTTTAATATTTAAAAACAAAAGAGAGAAATTAAAAAAAAATTGCTTGATTGAATTTACAGGCACTCAAGAAGAAGCAGCTGAGGCCTATGACATTGCTGCAATCAAGTTTCGTGGAGTCAATGCGGTGACAAACTTCGATATAACGAGGTATGATGTTGAAAAAATCATGGCCAGCAATACCCTTTTAGCCGGAGAGCTTGCCAGGCGAAACAAGAAGCCTGAGGCCACCAACGAAGCCATTGATTATAGTAACAACCAATCCGTGACACCCAACAGCGAGGAAGAAGCCATTCAAGCAGCTGCAGAGGACAATGGTAATGGTTCAGATTGGAAAATGGCTTTATATCAATCACCACCGCAACATCAGCAGCAGCCAAATGCTGTTGAGTCTCTTGACCATGACCACCATGCTAAAACAGTTGGAATTGTGAGTTATCGCAACCAAACCAATGCAACATTCTCAATGGCTCTGCAGAATCTGATTGGGACTGATTCTGGCACTCCCACCGGGCAAATGGTAGACGAATGTGCGAAAATTGGGAGACATTTTTCGAACCCTTCATCACTCGTTACGAGCTTAAATAACTCGCGAGAAGGAAGTCCAGAAAAAAGTGGCTCGGGAATGCTATTTGCCAAGCCCCCCTCAGTCTCTTGGTTTCCATCAGCAGCGCAGTTGAGGCCTGCGGCAGCTGCAATTTCCATGGCTCACTTGCCACTTTTTGCTGCCTGGAATGACACCTAATTTGCTGTGTGTGTGCTATACCCCTTTTTGCATGGTCAACAACGGGAGAAATTGGTGTTTTGGTGGGGGGAAAAGAAAAGGGTATGATATAAGTGTGTTGTCTTTTTTCTTAGTGGAGGGAAAAAAAGAACCATGGTGGACTCTAATGAAAGAAAAGGGGTAGGTGGGCAGGGGGGACCAAATTATGTCTGTAGGCAAGAAAAAATTTTCTTGGGGAAAAAGGAAAAACTTAAGAGAAGCTTTTTTAATTATCTATCTATGGGTGTCATGTTGGGATGAAGAATTTTGCAAAATGGAGGGAATTGTGTTGTGGGGGGGAACAGTGAAGTAGAAAAGAAGAGTAATGATTAAATTCTCTGTGAAATGATGTTTAGCAAAATTATATTTATATACTATAAGGGACCCTTTTATTATAATTGAATCCTACTTTTCTTCTGGGCTTACAAAGTACAAAATACCAGCTCATTATTGCCATAATTTGAACTTTTAATTATTTATAAAAAATAAAAGACTCTTCAAGAATTCAATTAAAGAGATAATGAATTCTAAAATGGGTTTTTAAATAAGTTAACACTGTCTGCTAATAAGATATAATGTTTGTCAACAGTTTTCCTTCCTTTTTCTTAAGAAACCATTTTTGTTGAACAAAAATATAATATGTATATTTTAGCTTTTGCAATAAACCCACTGAAAATTAAAAAGGGTTTTCATGTCTTTGAGTGCTGATCAAACATAAAAATAAATAAATAATATTTTATGTGTTTTTAATTTCCTTTTTACTTTTTTTTTTTTTTTGAAATACTTTTTACTATACTAATCTAAATACAAAATTTTAATAAAAGTAATTATATTACTTACACACACTAAATTATAGTGTCTAATAGAATTACGAAATTATTATTTTTAAAAAATTTAAAATGATAAAATTAAAATCCTATGAAGCTAACATTCACTCTCAATTTTATTGCTATTTAGAATCCGAATCTTGATATTTTTTATTTGAAATAGTTACATTATTACACTAAGAATATCACACTAATCATTGATAAAGAAAATTAAATGTTGATAAAAAATATAAAATAACTAATGAAACCATTGATTTAGGTAAAATTTATTTAATATAAAACTACTTATTCTGTACTTACTGTTATAGGTTCCTAAAAATTAATATATAAAAACAATAACTAAGATAACATTATAATTTCATATCAAAGTGAGTAAAAATAAAAATTTACATTTTTTACCTGCTTATCAATACATCTTGAGGTCCATAGGGATGTTCCTCTATGCATGAACCCAATATTCAAATTTGTTAATCAATCGATCGTTTCTATACCCTATCCGTTAATAGGCGCCAAACATACCATCGCCTAGATATCCTATTCGGTATGAGGGTAAACCATATCTCTCAAACTTTTTTGATATGAAACTTTTCACCATGTCCGACTGAGATAAAGTTCACGACATGATTTTTTTTATATACCGGATTCGTTCACCATTTTTAAAAGCAACCCGTAAACTTTTCATACATAGATTTACGTTATCAATCAATTATCAATTACATATCAACACAACGTTACATATTTATCAATTAACAATAAATCATGTTAAATCAAGACAACATAATTGAATTGAAAAAGGAACCACAAAATAAAACATAAAAGTATGTTAATTATGTATAATTTTTCTAAAAAAAATTCCCTTCTCAACGAATAAAACAAATCTACACGTAATTAAGTTGATGGCATCGAATGACAGGGAGGGATATATGCCGCAAAAGCTGGAAGTTGAAGAAAACAAATAAATAAAATTTTATTTAGCTTCTTTTATTACTTCAAAATACGACAAATAAATTCGGAAATTCTTCTCCTTTGACCAAATAATAATTTTTAATATTTTGTAAAAAATTTAGAATATTTTACTAATTAGAAATTTTTGATTTTATTTATTTATCTATATGTATTAATCTTTCAATTCTAGCATACATAACGATCTTGAATTATTATTAAATAAAAAAGCTAACGAAAATAAATGATAAGACAGAGAATTGATAGATTGATGATCCAGAATATAACAGAGTAAATTGTTGTCTACTTCTTAATTTAAAAAAAAAAAAAAAAAAACTAATCTGATCCTCAAATTTTCTTCAAATCTATTTGAGTTTAGTCAACAGATATGATTACAAAACGTTGTCGTTGACAGGTTGGATTTCGACAATAACAAAAATTTTGTGTACAACAACAGCATTCGAAAACTAATAATTAATTTCTTAGTTGCACACGAGCTGGATCATGGTAGTGTATTCTAATTAATTTGGATTTTTTTAAAAATAAAAAAAAAAATTAGTTAATTCAATGATTATGAATTATGATAACGTAATCTTATCTCAGTGAAACTGTAAATAAATATAAATTAATTTTTGATAATCATATTTTTTAGTGAAAAAGGTGGTATAAATATTTGATGTAAGAAGCCAAAAATTTCTTTTGGGTAATAAGAAACAGCTAATGAGATGTTGCATTGCAATAAAGTGTTTGTCTTTTATTCAACCAATTGAAAAAAGTCCCCCATTTTCCTCACACCTCCTACAATAAACAACTCATCACCATCACAAACACAAGTCCCAACTTCAATTAATACGTAAAATTTTGAGTGTATTATCTGTTATATATAATATTTCATTTATTAATATGTTAATAAAATTATAATAATTAAATTAAATTTAATACGAACAAATTTATCATATTTTAAACCAAAAAAATATTATTATTTAATTAAAATCCCACTTAAGAGTTAGTTTCATGTAAATATAAATATATATAAAAAAAAAAAAAAAAAGAGGAAATAACCCACAAAATAAATACACCAAATTGAAAATCTTTTGTTACCTTGCTTCATTTTGCTCCACCTAACATTATCTCCATAAAGGAGGGGGGATCCCACTTGGTAAACAACCACTTACCAAACAATTCAAAATTTGGAGGACCAAAATCCAACCTTGTCCACTCAAATATTAGCACATAAACTAGTACTATCTACACACAGGTATAGGTTTCCCAAGATGTTCCAAAACACAAGGATATGTACACTGATTTTATTATCTAAAGCTAAATCTTACCATACGGTGTGTGTAATTTTGGGACCTAAAATTGAAAAACAAAAATGGTCCCAATATTTTTAGGGCCCATACCCTAGTTCCGAACACACATGACCTACAATGGAGGCCAAAATTAAGCCTTGTATTCAGGTGTGTTGGATGTGCTGTCCATTTGCTTTGATAAGGAAATGATATAACGTGGGTGGATGTTCTGTATAGAGGGGTCTGTTTCTTCCAAGGAAACCTTCTCATGTAGGTGTATGAATATATAGTTATATCGTTAGTGACTCTTAATTCCTACAATCTTTGCCTTCCATTTCTTTTCCCCTTGGACCACTTCTCCGTCTTCTTTTATTCTTTGATGGGTTTAGTGGGTTTGTTTAATTCTTCATGATTTTATATATATTTGATACACTTTCATTCATACATGTAAATTTGTGTTTTTTTTTTTTTCTTCTTTTCTTTTCTTTTGGGTTAAAAAATGATTAAATGAAATTAGAATTTAAAATTCATGTTTTATGTAATAATCTTATTTTTATTACATGGCATTAAAATTTGAAAAAAAAAAAAAAAAAAAAAAAAAAAAAAAAACTCAACATAATCTTCGACGAAGATCACTTAGCCACAAACACAATAATGTTTTTAAAACTATATTTAATGAGATCCTCATAAAGTAATTAAATTATTTCTTCATTTTTTAAAATAAAAAATAAAAAAAAAATAAGTGAAGGAGAGACGAGTGATGTGGATGCATCAATACCCAAATGGGCGGGCCTGTGCCGGGTAACACACTGAATAAAAAAGTTGGGACATGCAGATATATAGTACACTGTACACTCGTTAATTAAATTATATAAACCAAAACTGTATGTATACATTTTTATTAGGTACGCCATTCATGGGTTGTACCTTATTTTAGTTCGAAATATTTATTTAGTAATTTAGTTTTGATTTTTGTAAATCAAATTTGGTAATATTATAAAATTGATAAAACTTAATTTATTTATTTTTAATGTGTTTGGTCTTGAAATTTAATGTGTTTTAGATGGATCTGAAAATTTGAATTCATTTCATTGCACTAATAAGACAAAGTTTGGCTCCATATGACTCCCGCATTTATTACTGCATTTAAAAAATAATTTTTCATTTTTATTAAAACAAATATTAACTAATAAAATAAGAATTAATATTTTAAGAAAAAGAAAAAGAGGATGGTGACAATGGCCAGAGAGGCTTTTATGTCGACGACGCTGACAACATATAAGCCGCAGCAGAACAAGGCAGAGACTAAGGCCTCCGTACACCATATTAGGCCGACTATATATCTACACAGACAAAGAGATACAATCCTACGCTATATCTATACCTATATCTATATATACACACACACACACACACACACACACTACTACTATACAGCTAGGCTTTGGATGATGAGGGTGACGCAGAGTAGGTAGGCTGTGTGGGGTAATCTTATCAATTCTGCAAACCACTAATTACAGAGCTACTACTGCTCTGCGACAACCCCATAAATTTAATTAAAATCCAAAAAAAAATAATAATTATCATAAATAAATTCTTCTGCAGGCTGAAATGTCAACGTCTAAAATCTAATTTAGAATCTTTGCTCGTCTGGGTTTTCTCTTTTTCTCTTCTTTACTAATCCCGTGATGCTTCTGACTCCCTTTTTCCGTTTTTTTTTTTAAATACAAACGAATCAGATAGTGACACGTGGTGCGTCTGAGCCGTCTCCTGCCGTACGCGGTGTTCTCGGCAGCGGCGCCGTCTCTTTTGGCTGTCTGCTGTCGCCGTCGGGTCATCACCTTAATGTAAATTTCCTCTTTTGCCCCCAGAATTGTAATGTATAAAAATATAAAATTAATTAAAGAAAAGCCCGTGATGGAATGGAATTGTTAAAGAGTATTCATTCAAATAGGAAGTCGAGATAGGACCCGAATGTCTTATTTTGGACAATAAATTTTAAGCCCACCAGGTGGACTGGGAATTTAAAGAATAATATGGTTCATCTGCTAATTGGGCTTTATGAACTTCTAGAAAACTTACGGCCCATTATGCTAAATCTTTTCCTACAATGCTTGAACCTTAAAAACGACGCAGTTTGGTGAACTTCTCTTTCTACTTTGTCTGTCTAAACGTTAACCTCGGCATATTGTATTACATATATATATACACACACACACACACACATATGGAAGTGCTGTTTGCAGTTTACCCATTTATGCGTCTTTGTCTTTTTACTTACATATATCAATATTTCTCAAATTAGTTGTCTCATATTAACACACACTATTAAACTTGGTTTTTAATTTTTATTTACATCTAGCTTTTTACTGTTTTTACAATGTGATCGTAGGGAGCAAAGCCCATAATTAGAGGACTAAACGTTTAATTTTAAAGTAATTAAAGAAACATGAATAATAATAATGGTTGTCTGATGTAAAATTAGTGTGTGCAGGCATGGAATGTATACGTATATATAATGTAAAATTATTGTTGTTGTGAATTTTATAAACATGTGTATTGATGAAGGTGAAGTAGAAAGTTACCCATGCAAGTTTAACTCAACTCATCATTATGTTTCTTTCTCTTTTGGCATGAAAAAAATAATCTTCATAAAAATCTCCAAACTTAGCACATATTTTCATGAGATTTGTTTTATGCTTTCAATTAACATATATCCTGCATCTTAATCATTTGTTTTTTTTTTTCTTTCTTTTTTTGCCCATTGATATTGGTTTTGTTTTTAAAATAAATAAATTATAAATTACGTATATTAAAATTAACGAGATTTTAAATATATTACATCAACTCAATTCACTTTTGCCGTGTGATAGATTATAATTTTTATAACTATACAAAAACAATGTGCACATTATCTTACATGATTAAAAATTATATATATGTATGTATATATTAATTCTTGGTAAAACTACATAATGAATAAAATGTGAAGAGAAAAAATGTGTGATCAAAAGCTTAAACAATTTTATTTTAAAATTTTTAAATAGATAATTATTACATATTATGTTAAATATAAGTTAAAAATTAAAATTATATATATATATATATATATGGTAGGTTTAGGCTTTGGAAAATAAGATTCAAAGAATATATTTAATTTATCAAGCAACAATTCCGAAGAACTTCCATGATTCAAATTCCCCTAACTTTGTACCTATCTATGCCTAGCTCTCCATCACTCAACTCCAAAAGAATTTAGCAGTAATCTTTATGTCATTACCTCAATGTGTGTGTGTGTGTGTATATACAGAAACTGATAAGTTGTATGTATTGATGGTGTGTTTAGTCTGGTTTTGACCCATGCATGCATGTGCATGTGTTTTGTACATTTCATCTTTCAAACTGAGCAACCCAACCCACGTGAAGCTTCAAATTTTCTCTACGTGGAAACATCGATGACAAGCGTAATCTATTTTTAGTTTGGTTATTTAAAAATTAATTTCAACTTAAACATATGTATTATAAATAATAAAACATTATGATTATGATTGTTCATTACTTACATCTCTTTGATGCATGCGGATGCTTTCTTCTTCAGTTTTCATTGGAGAATATGGCGTTGGGATATGATTCTCTTTTTAATCATATATTTTTGTTAATTAATTAATATTATTAACACTAATACCATTATACTTTGTTTACTTTTTTTATATCAGTTAATAAAGTTATATATATATATATATATGCATAAATTATAATAGAATACAATTTAAATAATAACAATAATATTAATTAATCCAGCCGTCCGTTAATTATGTTTTTTTTTTTTTTTTTGTTAATCTTTGATTTGCTGTTCAATTACAGTTACAATCTTCTTAATGTAAGGTGCAACTTTTTCTAAAGAAGATAAATAAAAGGCTGTTTTAAAAGTATAACATGGGGGGGCCCCCTCAACTTATTTTATTCGAAATATATATTTTATTAATTATCCTACATGTATGTATTAATTCATTAACAAATTCTTTAATTAACTTAATTACTAAAGTTAAAATTATTTTTTTATGATAAATTTAAATTTATGTTAGATAAGTTAAATCATTTTTATACTCGCATAATAAAATACTGTTTTATTTGAAAATTGGTCGAAAATAAATTGATTTAATTATTAATTTTGTATTTTTTATTTTATTTCTGTAAAGATAAATATAAAAATTGTCTTAGGTACCATCCCATCATTGCAAAATTAGGCAGGACCACATCTTCTATGGCCCATCGTAAGCTCGGCGCATGCCGCACGCGTGATTTCCTTTCCTTCCTTCTCACTTTTTTGCTTACTCTCATAAAATAAAAATTAAAAAAAAAAACAATCATTTTGCAAGATGAAAAATAATAAAATATTTTAAAATTGATTAAAGGGATTAGTTTAGTTTACGTTAATTATTTTTAATTTATAGCTGTTAGTTAAAGATTAGCAATATTTAATATTGTTATAGCTGTTATTTAATTTAAGAGTGATTAATTTTTAATTCTAATTGTAAGTTAATAATGCATTAAAATATTGTAGATAGGTAAAACATATACATACATATATATATATATATATTGCATGTATACTAACTAAGCCAACTATATATATCTTAGTAGTTAGCTTTGAAAGTAATAATAATCATGATTTTATGATATATATTATCTTAAAGAGAAAATAGAACACATATTTTTGTATCTATTAAATATTTATTTTGTTTGATATTAATTTTATTGACAAAATAATCATAGGGACATGCTTCTTGAATGTACATATCAATGTGTATTATAAATTTAGGCTGCTTCTACACAATAATTTAGTCCACTTATTTTAATTTTATGTACAATCTTTTTTGTTCAACCCTAAACCTATTTACTTTTCAACAAAAAAAACCAGCCTTAATTTTTCATGGTAGGACGTCTATTTATTATAATTACAACACAAATCATAAAATCGCTTGGATTTTGATCCCCTAAAAATATTTAAGAAATTTTATTATTTTATATAAAAATTATGCAGTTGTATATGTATATATTGTAATTACGTGTGTTTATCGTACCCATAATGATCTATTTAAATAAATTTTAAAATAATATATTAAATTTTAACTAAAAAAATATTATAACCATCTATCATAATATTTTTAAATAATATAAAGATTTATGGAATGTATATTATTTTAGAAATAAACTAAAAACTTAAACTGAGTAGTTATTTACCAACTATTTTTTAATACAAATAGTTATTACTTGATTCTATCTCAAAAAGTTTCCGATTTGAATTTAAATATATTTTTTGTTCATACGAAAGTTATTTATATTATATTATAATTAGTGCGAGTATATTGTTTAATTAATTAAAAAAACATATTAGAATCAAAACAGGTTCAACGTCCAAAATCCATTTTGATTCTCTAATTTGGAGGAACAAACAAGAGATTTTTCATTTGAACTCAAATGATCTGGTGCGGTTACCCATATTGATTAGTTAGGTACACCATCTCGATCATGTTAATCATTTTTTGCATAATATAATAATACAATAAAATCTCACCAAATATAAAAAAAGTATCAGAAAATTAATTATTATAAACGTGAATTTTTAAAATGAAATATGTTATTATGGTATATAATTAATAAGATCTTAATTTTTTACATACTATATTTAATGTATTTTATTTATAAAATTATAATTAAATTTTTTTAATTATATGCAATAAAATACAGAAACAACATTTAATATTTAGAAAAAATCCGATTTGCTACCGATCAAATTCTTGACATGTGGGTCCTGATTAACGTCATCTGAAATCACAATCACGTCAATCTTACCACAGGTGGGCGCAAATTTCTTATAATGAGGTGTCGTGCGGAGGATCATAATTTCAAGAATCCAATGGTGATTAGCCCGTTAATCTGGCAGTTAATTGTGTTGATCACTCCAGCAAGATCACAACCGGAGTTTTGGTCGACCAGAAAATTCAGTTTGACCCACCCCTGCTGAGTTAAAAGCCTACTGACTGACTCCAAGAACTACAGCTGGAAAAAAACCGTACAAGGACAAGAAGGTAAAATCAATTATTAGATTCCATTATTCCTTATGTTCCTCATGAGCCAAAGCCACCAAAGTAAAAAAGGAAAAGATTGCTGCAGGTATTAATTAACTTTTTTTTTTTTTTTTTTTTTAATTAATTAAAAAAAATGGGTTAATATATTTGGGGGGAATTTTTATATGTTCCTCACTATCTTAATGGAATGTTTATTCAGGACCGTACACGTGTCCTGACTTACACAATCAAAGGTTAATGTTTGGTGATGGGAAGTGGGGGCTCATGGAGAGTGATGCAGGTTAGGTGTATAATGAGTTTTCTGAAAAGAAATGAAGGGGTGGTTAGTTGGCACTGAGAAAAATGAGTGTGTAACAGCAAAGAGAAGTGTATTAGAATAGTTGGCAAAGGTGTCAGTGAAAAAATTAAAAAAGAAAAGAAAGTATATGTGAAAGTAAGTAAGGAAAGCTTGGGGACGAAGAGAAGAACCTCCATAAATCTACACAAGGTTGATATATATATATATATATATATATTTTTTAAAAAGAAGTAGATTTTGGTTGGTAATTTAGTTTTGTTACAGTTTAGATTTAATATTTTTGGTTATTACCATAAAATCACAGTTAAAAATCTTAAATTTATATTAAAAAAAAAAAAATCATTGAGAGAAGGGGAAGAAACATGTGATAATGAGTGGGAAAAAAATTTACAAGGAGTAAAGGAGATTAGGTTGTGTAATAATTTAGGAACAAGAGCAGTTGGCAGTAGTTAGTCTGTCTTTTAAAATCATTTACATGTCACCTGTTGGCTTGTGCAGGTAAGCAAAGCTTTCATTTTTTTTTTTTTCTTTTATATCATTGGGCGTCAATGAATGTGTATGCTTTCCCTCTCTCTTTCTCTCTCTTTATATATATATATATATTGTATAAGTATTGATCTATAAAAGCTGGAATTTGATGCTTCCTTCACTGTTTCTGCAAGTACTCAATTGGTGAATTGGCCTTTATTTATATTTTCTTTTCTACTTGTCAAGTTCAGGCAAGCATTTGATCCTGTTAGAGGTACTGTCATAGACCCAATTTGGGGGACTGTGAATAGAACTGACCCATTTCAGTTCTTGCATAATTCAAGTAGAATTTGATTTTTTTGGCTCATTCTTCGTGGGGTACCCATTTCAGAATATCTCAATGGGTGTATGCAAAATAACCCCCTTTTTTCTTTGGTGCCATTGATTCTTTGATTCAAAACTTAGACAACTGGTTTTTCTCCTGTTGGGAATTTTATTTGCAGCCATCTTTTATTTTTTGTTTTGTTCATTTTTATGTTGTTTGGGTACAGTTTGGGTTGAGATTGGGCGTTTAATTACTTGAACAGATTCGAGTTTTGATAATGAAATCAATTACATTGGTATTCTTTCAACTGAATATAGTGAATGGGAAAAAAGGGAATCTGCTTTATCTTGTTAGGCTGGTGAACTGTAACTTAGCTAATCCATAGTTTGTGTGTAGTACTTTATGCTCTGAAAGGTTCACTTTCTTGTCTGTTGACAGCATTTTTCCTTCTTTTCTTCTTTGCATTTGAGTAGACTTGATCCTAGGGTTTTTGAAACAAGAGTTGAGTAATCTGGGTCTGTGCAGATTTTATGCCTGATGCATTGGATTTCTGCCTTTTACTTTGTGTCCATGGGATGCTGTAATGAAGGTTTCTTTTACTTTAACATCTTCACAGTCCTATAAAGCTGCCATTGTTATTTGTTCCTTGTTGAGTCCTAGAAGAAATCATCTTATCTTTGGTCAAACCTGCTTTTTTTCCCCTTTAGTATTATATTGCTTCTGTTTAATATCTATTCGTAGCCAGCTCTAAACCAGCAATTGATTGGTATTTGGGGTTTCCATTTTTTTTGCAGATAACCTGTTTGTAAAAAGTTCAGGGTTTAGTTTCTTGAATCTGGGACATGGGTGGGTGTGATAATGATGATTTAGGGTTTCGACTTGGAGGTGAGAGCACCATGAATTGTCCTTCTTCTGGGATGAACTCAACTCCCATTTATACCAAGCCCGCAACTGGTGCAGACCCTTTTTTTCCTTCTGGATGGGATCCAATCATTTCCCTGAGTCAACATGAGAGTTTTGGAGGCTCAACATTGGTTTCTCACAGCGAATTATCAAACCCTCCTTACCCTGTTATGATGCAAAATCAAGGAATTAGAGGCTTTGCTCCTCAGTACCCATCCGGTTCGGGTTATACCGAAATGGTTCCAAAGCTTTCATGCTACGGGAGCGGAAGTTTCTCTGAGATTGTTGGATCATTCAGCCTTCCTGATCAGTGTGGCCAACTCTCCAACTCTGTGTGTCCTCCAAATTATCTTCCAAGTAAAGAGGGTGGCAATGAAGGGACCTCAACAAATGTAGCAACATCTCATGATCAGGATTACCAAATGTCTGAAGCAGATATGGCGGCTTCAACACTTAATGGAAAGGGAAGAAAACGGGCTCTCGAGTCGAATTCTCCTTTGAATCCCCATAAGGTAACCCAAGTTGTAATTTACTATATCAAACGGAATTTGGAGATTTTTGCTATGCCTCTGATCTATATCACTAGTGAATCAATTGATTTTTTCATATGTGGTGTTCAGAATGCAGAGAATGAGCTCCCAAATGATCCTTCGGGTGAGAGCTCAGATGTCCGTAACGAGCAAGATGAGAAGAGACCAAAGGCAGAGCCGAGCGCCAGTCCAAACCTGCGTGGTAAGCAAGCTGCTAAGCAAGCTAAAGACAACTCTAATAGTGGAGAAGCACCTAAAGAAAATTACATTCATGTGAGGGCTAGAAGGGGTCAAGCTACTAATAGTCACAGTCTTGCAGAAAGGGTAATTTTTTACATACTGGTGCCAGAAAAATTTGCACTCTATTACAATCCTGAATCTGTTGATTACTCCTTTTTTAGGTGAGAAGAGAAAAGATTAGTGAGAGAATGAGATTGCTTCAGGAACTTGTTCCTGGATGCAACAAGGTAAATGAGAGACTTCCTAGCTTTGTCAATCAGACTATTTTCCTATCGTAAGTAAAGGATTGTGCTAATTGCTGTGGTACTGATTTTGTTTTAGATAACTGGAAAAGCAGTGATGCTTGATGAGATTATCAACTATGTGCAGTCTCTGCAACAGCAGGTCGAGGTACGGTATTAGGCAACTATAAATGGATTGTATTTTGGATGAACGTTAACCTGGTCAAAGAAATTTTGACACTGTAGCAATAGCAGTTAGTCATAATACTTTCTCTAGAACTAGGCTGAAGAACATCGACTTGAATCCTTTTTCCTCAATTAAAAAGCTCATAGAGTCCTAGCTAGCGCATAATCGTACATGCATGGTGCTTACTGGTCATGTTGCTCTTGTCGAGTTGGGATTACTACGAGTAATTTCATAAATTTTTTAGTAGACCACTCCATTCATTGGAAAAATTTATCTAAGAAGATAATACATGGTTTGAAATTGGTTTTGCTGTTCTTCCTGCAGTTTTTGTCAATGAAACTTGCCACTGTCAACCCAGAACTGAATATCGATATAGAGAGGATTCTATCAAAAGATGTAAGTCATACTCTAAGGGGACATTAGATTCAATTTCGATTTAAATTCCCGTTGTACTCATTACCCGATATGTGAAATTAGATTATAATCCTCATATTTGAATCACAATTGAGCAAGTCTTGCTCTTGTTCAAATTCTCTGAAGGATTTGTTTCTTTTTTAGCTATGTAGGAATTATAAATTCACCATACTGGATTTCTTTTATTAGCTTGGAACTAAATGGTGCCTAACATAAACTTAGAAAATGAATGGGTAGTTTCTATCTATAGAGAATGATATGAATATCTGGTCTTTCTTTTTAGATTCTTCATTCACGAGGTAGCAATGCAGCACTCCTTGGATTTGGCAACATAACCGGTTCCTCTCACCTTTATCCTCACGGAATTTTCCAAGGAACTGTACCGAACATCCCAACAACAAATACCCAGTTTCCTTCCCTTTCTCATGTAAGTGAAAGGTCTGATCCACCTCTTGCAGACTTTTCTTGTTTCAAATTATTTATGCAAAACAATTTCTTGCAATGGATGCAGTCAGCATTAGACAACGAGCTCCAAAATTTTTTATCAAATGGAATTTGAATTGAGCTCCACCATGGACAGTATGGGTATCTAATGGTAATTGGCATATCTTACTCGGAATTAAATTTGATATTCCGCTTTCCTTTTTGCTAATACTTGAACTCGTCAACTGCAGCAGCACACTTGAAATCGAAGTTCTGATATGCCCGGAAGATATAGGGAAAGTTTATTTTCTTCTAACAGCAAGTTTAAAAATCTCAAGTTGACTGCACATTAAGCTCATCTAGAATTTCCTTGTTTTTTTTCATGGAAAAAAAATCTCAGCTGTATAGATTACCAGTTCCTAACTGTTTGTTCTTCAAAATTTTAGCAGAAGAAGATTGACTGGTAGGGTTATAAAGCAATGTATATCCATCCAAGGAAGAAAGAAAGGGTTTGATTGGTCAGGATTGATTTGATTGATATTGTAGAGTGTGCGTGAAAACCTTGTGAGAGTTTTTTTGAGAAAGTATTTTAAAGAAAGGGTTTATTGTAGATTGAATCAAGTCAAGAAAAATATATGAATTATAAATATATTGCTTTAATTTTCTTCTTCTTTCTCCCCATCATGGAAGATTGGATGAACTTGCAGACCCTTCAGTTCAGGGAGCTTAATTCTTAGGGCATTATTTTATTTTACTGGAATTTTAGGCTTGAGTTGGGCTGAATGGAGACGGTAAGCCCAACTTTTCTCGGCCCAATCTGTGCATCATTCTGGGAATAGATGGAGTTAAAGAAAAGTTATTTTTTACTAGTTAATTGAATAGAATTGTTTAATTTATTCTGAGCATAGACTTATATATATATTGAATTTTCAATCTGAAGTTTGACCCAATGTTTAACATGAACAGAATCATTTAATCAAACCTAATTAAGACCAGAAAAAAAAAAAAAAAAAAAAAGTTCAATGAGTCTACACTGGTGACAAGGCTACCAGACAAGATACTGCTACTAGTCAAACAAGTAGAAATTAAGCAGAGAAAAATCAAAACCCGATTGCAAACAACAACAAAATGGTATTTTTTCTTTAGAAAATAAAAGTGTTAGCCATGAAAATTCTTTTGAAATATTTTTAAATATTACTCGAGTGATATAAATCCGACATGAGACAGCTTTTTGTGATGTGGTTTTTTCCCAAAAATCATAATTTTGTTTTTTTTTTAAAAAAAAAACGTGCAAAATTAAGCTGGGCCAGATGATTGGTTGGAGAGAAAACAAAAAAAAAAAAAAAAAAAACTATAAATCATACACGACATGTTCATCAACATTAAGCAGTTATCACATGCCCATCAATTCAAATTAATTAAATTTTTTAACTTACGAAACAAAAAATAAATATTTGATTTTACTGACAACAACCAATCCTGGTGAATTATTAAATTTTCTCTGTAAATTATTTGGAATTTTTGATCCTATGAAATTAAATAAAAAGATTTAAATGGGTCCATTTTCCAAATATGGTGTGGTCCAGGTCCAGCTGCTTCCCAACTATAAATATAGGGCGAGCCAAGTCGGGGGCTGGGCCATGTGGCTCGACAATTAGACAATACACACGCACACCCATGTGCAGAGCTCATCAGCTAACTTTCATAAATTACTCATAATCACAATAATAATGATAACCCAAATTAAATTAATAAAAACTTAATATGAAATGATGTAAATAAATAATGAATTTTTATCAGAAAACAAATTGCATTCAAGTAAAATTAAAAAGGATTATGTCGTAATTTTCTTGGATAATCAAGCTCCTAATTTTGTACTAAATTAAAGAGACTTTAAGATTCATAAATAGTCCATTTTCCAAACAATATGAATAAATCATATTTAATTAAATAAATCATAAACATAATATCATGTTCCTTAACATATTCAAGGGGGTAAAAACAAAAAAAAAAAAAAAAAAAGCCCTAGAATTTGTTTATAGAATTTTTTTTTTTTTTTTTTTTATTTGTGGAATTGAAGGAAGTAATAAACAACATATTCTGGAAAGCATCAACAAGAGTCTCAGAGAGTGTTTGTTTTTTCTTCTTTCCTTGGCCTCAAACCGTTAAAAAACTAAAAGATTCCTCGTTTGATGTTTGAACCCCCCCCAACAAATCTTCTTTTCTTACAAATGAATTGAACTGATGAAAAACAAAAGAATCAAAACAAAAAAATAAAAATAAAAACTCACTTATACTGAGAGAGCATCTTTGTCATCATCTTCCCCATTTTTTCTATCACGTGTCGTCGTCTTCTCTTCTCTTCCCCTCTCTCTATCAAAATCTAGCCTTTGTTATTACACAAATTTTCTTGTATTGGGTGGAAATGGAAAGTTTTATATGAGGGGGGAAGGCCTGAATGGTTGAAGAGCACACGCAACAAGATTAATGGAAGTTGCTCCAGCTCCCATCCCTAGCCGATTTCTACACTGTCTTCCCCAGACGGGTTCTACTGCGGTGGTACTCAGATTTTGTCCCCACCCTATATTCACCAAATATTTTTACAGTATCCTTAACTCTTCTTCTTATCTTCCCTACTAAATCTACCTTGTCTGTCTATCACTCGACTTGCTCGCCTATCAAATCTAGGCCAACCAGCAGGAATGATATTCCCTGAAACAGCAAAAAGTAAAAATGGATTCCTTGAGCCGTCAACAGACTCCTCGCTGAGGCTGTGAGCAATAGGAAAGCCAATGAAAGCTCCTTCATGTATATCCTGTTGTGCTTCTTTTTCCTAGAAGCTTTTTGCTCTTGCTGCTCAATTTCCTCCTCCATTTCGCCAAGATTGGGAACTGAAACCCCTCTCTGATGCTTTGGCTCTTTCTCAACCAATGAAACAAGGTCACCCTCTGATGACCGGCCAGATTTCTTTGTGACAACCCACTCGTATGCACTTCCTAGTTGGAAGAGGCCAGAGATCATAGCATTGAACTTGGTTACTGACATGGTATTCTCAAAAAGAAGGTAAGGGACAATGAAGGGGAAATATTTTGGGGATGGGAGGAAATTGAGGAACGACATTGTGGCTGGAATATAGCAGACAACCCATACTGGAAGCTCGGCCTCGGGGATAAACATTGTCATGGGTAGAATTATGCAAAAGAGAGTGAAAGAATAAAAGGGTAAGATCAGTTTCCTAAGAAGGAAGAAAAGAAAGATCAAATTGAATTTCTTCCTTAGAGTAATCTGCAAACATCCAAAAGATAAATCATAATTAGTAAGTAGAATCTCCAGTTCCAAATTTAATGGAGAAAATCAGGAAAAGTACAAACTGTAAGCAAGAAAATTCCCCTTATCCAAAACATATACCTTAGATCGAATAATATCGGGCAAAGAAAGGCGAAACAGCTGCATTGGTCCTGAGTGCCACCTGTGCTGCTGTTTCCTATAAGCTTCATAAGATTCAGGTAGCTCACATTGACACTGAATGCAACAAAAACCAAACATTAATTCATAGCAGAGTCAACCAATAACTCGTAGAGAAATTATTTTTACGACAACTAATACTATTAAACTCCACGAGGCAGAATATTCTACTATTAAACTCCATGAGAAATACTTTCCATATACAAAATAAGTTAATCTATCAATTATACCTCGACATCATTGAGGAAGACGAATTTCCATCCATGGAGGTGAGCACGGACAGCAATGTCCATGTCCTCAACAGTTGTCCTCTCCAACCAACCACCGGATTCCTCCAAAGCCTTAATTCTCCAGACACCAGCAGTTCCATTGAACCCGAAGAAGTTCAAGAACACGCCATTAACTTGCTGCTCTACCTCAAAATGAAAAGCCAAATTGATGTTTTGCAACCTCGTTAACAAATTCTCATCTTTGTTGACAAATGACCATCTAGCCTGAACCAACCCTAGATCCTCGTTATCCTGTAGTATCATCAGCCACAAGAAAATTCTACTCTCAATTTACCAATCTAATTCCAACCCTAAAAGCCTAATATCAAACTTGTTCACTCATGAAATTTAAGGCAAGTGAATATAAGATTCTGAGTTAATTATACCTTGAAGTGGGGGACTGTTCTTTTAAGAAAATCGGGAGTAGGCTGAAAATCAGCGTCGAAAATGGCAACGAACTCATAATCTTTAACGTAGCTGCAATTCATGGCGGATTTGAGATTACCAGCTTTGTACCCATCTCTGATCACGCGGTGACGGTATACAATGCGGACACCTTCTTGCTGCCATTTTTCGACCTCCTCTTTGATCAAAAGCTGGGTGGTCGGATCGTCGGAATCGTCGAGAATTTGGATCAGAATTTTGGATTTAGGCCAGTCTAAGTTACAGACAGCTGCAATTGATTGCTGGTAAACCTAAAATTCGAAAGCCAGAGAACAGTGAAAAAACGAAAAAGAAGAAAGAGTCAGAAGAGTGCTGAGATTCAGGAAATTGAAGAAGCTTACCTCTTTTTCGTTGCACATAGGGATCTGAACAAGAACCATAGGGAAAAACCCATCTTCGCCGGACTCGAGATCTGCGATGGCGTCTTGTTTGAGTACAGGTTTGATCTTCCTGAGCCGGATCCAGAAGCAACCCAAACAGAGGATAAGCCTGTCCAAGGTCTGGATAAGGAAGAGAACGATGCAGACATTGGCAAGCAATTGAAGAGGTGGAGCGAGGTACTCTACGCGAATCAAGACCCAACGAGAATAAACCCAGTCGAAGAAATCCTTTACCCCAAACGACGTCGTAAAAATGTACTGCAACTGGAGATTCGCCGCGCCGAAATGCCAGCCCTTGAAATACGCCGCCACCTCGAAAACCAGCAAGACCACGGACAGCCAGAGAAATGCTTTGATGCACGAATAGAACCTCGACTTCACCGTCGGGTTCTCCTTTTCCCGGATTCCGCCGCTGGTTTCCGGTTCCGGATCGATGTCGGCGTCGGTGCGACCGGAAGCGACGCGGCGGCGAACGGCGGCACCGAGTGCGAGCAATGCGGAGCCGAGGGAAGTGAGACAACCGGCGGCACGATGGGCCTTGAGAAGAAGGACCCATGTCAGCTGCTTGGCGTTCTTACCTCTAGCTTTGTCTCTTGGCCGGCTATGCGGCGAGTCTCCGATGAGAAAATCTTCCTCCGACGGACCCTCTAGCTCCACCATTGACCAATTCGGGTTCTCCATCTTCACCACCACGGGAGTGCCTCTGTGGCTCTCTTTTGCCCACCAATCAAACGAGGGTGCCATTGTATTTTTCTCTCGTACTATTTTTGGTTAATATCAATACCCAAAAAAAGTTCAGACGCACGAACACACTGTTCAGAGAACTAGAAACACAAAACCGATCTTCAACAGACCGGAAAATGAAAACGAAGACGAAGAACCAGTTCGTCTTCAAGCTTGAAAATGAGAACCCAGAAACGAAAAACCAAGAAAAAATCTTCTACGATTTCGATCTCATTGTCAGAGAGAAGAAGAATACTGTATTGTCTGTAAAGCAAGGAAGAAGAAGAAAGGAAGAGACACAGACGCGTGGAAGAGAACACAAAGCTTATGCGTCTCTAAATCAGGCTGACATGAGGAGACAACTTATAAGAGAGAACTGTTTTCAATGGAGGATTTTAGAGATAGAAAGAGAAACACAGGTTCCCTTTTCTAACCCTTTGAACATCAATTACAGCTTGCAGAGGAAAAAAAAAAAAAAAAAACCTGGGAGAAGAAAGGGGGAAAAAGATGATAACAGCTCAACACGTAAAGAATCAATTAAAAATTAATGTTTATTTTTAAAAATTTAATTTTAAAAGTTAAATATGCAAACAAAAATATATATGTAGTTTAGATACAGAGAGCACGTTCTGATGTCATTATCAGACACTCTCCTCCCAGAAACTCATCTTTTTACCTCCCTAATTCAAACAACGTAAATTTTTGTGGAAACGCGAAAAATCCACAGAATTTTTTATTTTTTTTCTTCTAATTAGACAAAAAAAACAGCTAAATCTAAATATAATAATTAAAAAGACAATTCAAATAATCGAATAAATGCCAATTTAGTTAAAATCCAATAATTACAAAATCCGCAAAAAAATTTTTTTTTTTTTTTTAAATTAGGGTTTCGATTAAGACAGCCACTAAAATTTTCCCCCTAAATTTCCTTTACTGGAGATGTGATTAAACAAGCAGCTATGATGTAAGCAGAAACAGAAAAATTATATCATGCTCATGGCATGACAATATCAGGATTTACAGTGATTTTCCAGCCTGTTAAAATTTTTAAGCTTCAATATTTGCAAATGGGTTTCACTGAGATAATGATTACACGCGAAACCAGAAAGTTCAAAGAGAATGTTAGACACTAACCTAATCAATATGCTTGAAAGAGGATAAAACTTAATTACTACTATTATTAAAATTAATTTTTTTAAAAAAAATCAAATATTTTATTTAATTAAAATGTACTTTGTAATTTTTATCTAATTTAAAACTATTTATAATTAAATATTTTTAGTTAAAAAGTTAAACTAAACAATTTTGTTATTTATATTTATAATTAAATATTGATGAAATATTGTTAATGGAGATTTAAAGGCGATGGGAGAAGACCAAATCCTGCAGAAGCTATAGGTTTTAGTCGCTACCTAATTTGCTCAATAGAATTAAACGGTTAATTTTCTATTATAAATTTATTTTAACCAATGGTTTAACAAATAATTTCTAAAAATAAATTTTTAAATATTTTTAGTTAATTTTACCATAAAAGTATTTGGACTTTGTGGTACATAAAAGTGATTTTTTACCCACAACATATTAATATTTTTCCAAAATGATAAATATTCTTAATTACATAACATAAAAATAATAGAAGCTCGTGGAAAAAAGGAAAAGATTTTCAAAAAGAAAATATTTTATAAAAATAAGTAAAAATATACTTAGTGATTTAATTTTTTTTATTTAAATATTCACTTTAAGAAATCATATAGAATGGTTGGTATGTTATTAAGATCACTCAATAACGTATTAAATCACTTGGCTAGTAATCAACTGATCATTAAGCTAATCATAATATTCGTCAATATTTAATTAGCCCCGTTCATGTATACTCTTTACTGTTCGATTATTAAAAAAATAAATAATTTCTGAAGTTAAATAAAATTTCAAAATAATTAGAAAATAAACCAGCTGTCCCATATCTAAAGCTCGTGATGCTTCTAAACATTTTTGCAGGTAATAATTTTAAGCATTTAATAGTCCAAATTATCCTCTTCCACCGACAATTTCCTGATAAAGGTGGTTATCCGTAAAGGGGTAATCTTGGTAAATCACCCCGCCCCTTTATGGAAACTGGAGTGCCAAGTACCACGATGTTACTGTGGGTCCCTTACATCGTTCCATGATGTGGTGCGCGCGGAATCACCGTCGAAATTTCAACCGCTAGGAACAGGTCAATCAAATCAAGCCAATCAGATGATTTGAAGTCTGAGTTTAAATGTGAGTCAGCTGTATTGGAACGAAGCTCTCGCGTAGTAACTATTTTGGTCAGCGTCACGTGTGACAGGATAAAGGGGAATGCCGTTTCAAAATTCAAAAACCAAGTACCACTTCTCCTTGTTATTTAACTTTCTATTCATAATATTAATTATAATTTTTTTTAATGGCAATTGTATTTTATAATTAAGATAATTAAATTGAAAATTTGTTTAATTTTCAATTAATTAAACTAGAAAAATAGATGAAGTTTTTGTGCGTGTCTGATTATTTTTATCTTTGAACTATTTATTTATTTATATCTAGGAGTTGTTCTATTTTCTATATTCAGAAAAATTTATAGATTCGGCCTACGCTTCTCCCGGAAACTGTAATTACCGTTGTTTCTATTTTAGACTGCGGGGCGTTTTGGTAATTTAAGGGGACGGCAGGGACAAAAACGGAGAAATAAAACAAGCTGTCTTGGATGCCTCGGAGGGGTCCAAATCGGACCGTTGATCTACTGACACGTATGCAGGATGATGATGAAGAAAAATATTAGCCAAGGAACTGCCACGTGGCAAGCGGTGCATCCTGATCATCGACGTTCTCACGGACAACAGGCTGTCCCCCACTGCCGGCAACGGTCTCGTCGTGCCCTCAGCTACTATTTCACCGCATTTCCCGCAAACACGTCATCTCATCTCATCATTTTTTCCTTTTTTTTTTTTTTTTTTTCTCTCTCTTAATTTTGTTAATATTTTATTAAAATACTTTTATTGCAATTTAAACTTAATTTGTTAATTAATATCTTAAATCTTTTATAAAATTTCTGTTATATCATTGTTTATTGACACATACAAAAGTAGTTAAAAAAATATCTCTGTTTTTCTAATTCGATGTTCCAACACTTGAATTGATTGGTGAATTGAATCTGACAGCGATAGTCTCTCACTTTTTTCAAATATTACTATATAGTTATATTTTTTGTTTGACAAAACATAAATATTATTTATTCCATCAATATATTTGGTCAAATATACAAATATTAAACAACATAAAAATAAAGGAAATTCTAGGAAGCCACTTAACCGGAAGTGGCTTAATTTGATTAGTTAGATTTAGTCTAAGAATAAAATCAAAGGAGTCATGGAAGACAGCTCCACCTTATGATTGCTTTAAGACATATTATTATTAATTATAATAAACTTGCACAATAAATATATGTATAGAAGAAAGTTTCAAACCACATATGTAGGCCCTAATAATACGGTAAAAAATTAATTTAATTTATATGCATATTAAATATTCGATTAATCAAATTTCAATTAATTATTTTATTAGTAAATTATCGCATATAATTTTATTCTAATCAGATCGAGGTTACATATAATTACTGTGTATGATAAGTTTTCACTGTCGGTGCAAGTGGCTTAATTTCACCAAGTAAATGTATATTTATATACGAATCAGGTGAATGGGAACGATAAGAAAAAGGGACATGGGTCTGAAATAATAATCTTCAGTAAATTACTTTCATGGGTATTTTGCTCTTTGTCCAAGTGGGTATTAATCAAATTTTATAATCTTGATTTTTAAAGGATGGAAATGCTAATTAAAACTAAATTAAGTTGAATAATTGGTAGATACATGAATTAATTACTTTGTAAAGTCTAAACATTAAACAGTGCGTTTTGGGGGCCATCTGAGTCATCTTAAAGTTAAGATGCCGACACTAACCTTTTCTGCCACCTTTATAATTAAATCATGCTACATATTTCTGTGGCAAGAGTATTTTCAGTATAATTATTAAAATTTGATCAAACCACTTTATTTAGAATTATTATTTTTTTACTAGAGCGAGTGTAATATTCAAGCCCGAAAAGTAGCTCGGGACAAATTTTTCTAATAAAATTATTTAATTAAAATAATTAATTAATTTGCTTAAGTTTTAATTTATTGAATTTTTTAGAAAAAATAAATTAAAAATGAGATTAAAAATATTTTTTTTGGAAAAATGAGTAAAAATTTGAGTTTGATGAGTGTTTTTGAAAGAAAAATTACTAATAGGAAATCAAAGTATAAAAATAGAAAATTCGGTCACGTGGGATGACTCAGTCGACAGCTCCGACAAAGCGAAGCACGCCGCGTGTCAAAACATGTTGATGTCGATGCCACGCAGACGATCCACATGCCAAGCGATCCGATGGCCTAAGTTCAATCCCGCGAGCGTGAACGACTTAGATTCGTTCCCTCTTTAGGCACAATATGACAGACGAGATCAATCGCGATGAGCGATCAAGATTGCTGCGAGATGAGTATAAATACCTTACGTACTGGAAAAGAATAACCAGCCCCCGCTGGAGAAAAAGAACCAAGCACCAGAGAAGAAGACCGACTGCCAATCGCTGTTGCATCGGAGCCACCGCTGACTGCCAAAAAAGATAAAATTTTTCCTACCCATTCGAAATTCAATTCCGAGCATCCCTGTGGCCATATCGAAGCAAGATGTGTAACATCCTGAACCCCCAATATCGGTGAGTACGGACGTTAGCATAATACTTTCAACTAGTGGAACAAATAAATATTAAATATTAAATATACAGCGGAACTACACTTTAATACACATATATTGTGACCGGATAATTATTTATTTACAAATAATTGAGTCATCTAAATTAATCTACAATATTAAAATAAAATCTAATAAAGTTTTCTTTGTCATCTTTCTTTGATCTTTGACTTCCTCTGACCTGGATGTGGGTGAATTAGGATGAGCTTCACGAGCTCAGTAAGAAAAAGACTTCTATAATTGAGACTTAAGTATATACATTCATGCAATATGTAAAATATAATAATTTTTATCATCAAATAAAATGTTAAACAAGCATCACAATCAAAATACACAATAAAACAAATTATTACACAAAACATATTATAATCCTCACTCTTTTAACCTAATTCTTGTTCTCCTTTCAAATCACACTTATGGATTCACAGATTTCTCAAACCAAAATGGGTTTACTCACACACACATATCACTCAACTCGGATTTATAATTTCACATTATTTAGTCTTTTAAATCTTAATTAGGCTACCGTCGTGCGATACTCGTTATATCGCTATCGAAGAAAAGCGAAATGGGTCTCCCCCATTGCATGGATAACACAAACACATAAATTTTACAATGGTCATAGCAGTTACGTTTGCTAGGTGAC